CTGCGTCTTTCAGTTTTCAATCATTTTATTGTAGATATAATGGATTCTTCGAAGTCTGTACACTTTGACTAACAAAAATAATTTCTGTTTCCACTAGAAAATCCCTCACGCCTTTCTAGATCGTTAACTACTTTTGTTCAACTTCAATTAAATGCTCGCTTGCCTTTCTAAATAACTTACAAAGGTCTTTTCAAAGGTGTCTTCTTCTCATAACATACTCGCAACAACAAATGGAGCTCTTACACAGCAGACTTTGATTGCACCACACACACAATCCTCGGCCTTTTTCTTTCTAGAACAATTCAGAATATCATTTAAGTCTGTCCAATTATGAATAGCTTCGCTGGAGTAGAACAATTTACGTTAGTGGCACTGCAACCGAAGTGGGAATTATGCAAATGTACGGCAGCTGCTTGATGTGGCAAATTGAAGAAGCGACAGCGCGATACCAGGACTTCGCGCTGCACAGCCTGGCGTGGTGATGGACATGCGTTTATAAATAGGAGTGTGAATGTGTATATGCGTATGTACATATGTAGTGGCATGTGGCAGCCTCTCAAATTACAGCGCAAAGTTATGCTCCGCTTGCAATCAATTCAGCTCCGTTCTAAGAGGAATCGAGTTCGAGGAACAAAGTGATCTGGCAACCACTGAAATTCTGTTACACTGATCGTGCCACACAAATTTGAAGGAAACGCTCCACAAAAGCAAACAAATTTAACTATGTATGTATGTATGTACGTAAAATTCATAGTAAAAGAGAAAGAAAAAAAAAAACAAAGAAGAAAATAATTGTACTCAGTCTTGTAAGTTCATGTGGAACTGTGTGAAAATTGTTGCAAAAGGATTACGCCCAACACAATGCGATTTCTTGTAGGTACTTTAAGGAATTTGAAAAAAAAGAGCATGCAAGTGAATAAGTAATGAATGAAGTACTCATATAGCAGAGGTGTAACGTGCCCATTAGTTTCATTCAAAAGGTTCGTTAATTGCTGAACTGAGTTACAGCACCGAGCATTGCCAGCGTCCTTAGCAAAGGATTTACTTGTCGTATAGTGCTTTATTTGTTGTGAAATGTTTGTGTGTAATTAAATACGAAATTGCGTAATGTTATAAATGGTTAGGTCGATTTGCTGATGAAATTTCTTTTTATTTGAGCATTTGTGTGTTCCTTAACCCATGTATGCCATCTCCTTCATAATTATCCGCGTTGCTATTACCTAAACAAAGTCTAGACAAAGATCAGTTCATAGCTTGAACAATTCCAGTCATCTAATAGATTCAACATAATTTGATATTTTTCAAGAATTGTGCACCAAAAATATGTTGAAGACAAAAGTGGGGGACATTTTTTTATAAAAGCGATACTAATCTCAAAGTGTTATTCTAATTACAAGTAGTTCGAAATATAGATCAAAAATATATATTAGATACTCAACATGCCATCTGATCAAATATGACTCGTACTGTAAAAAAAACTACATTTTCATGTACATCTCTATTATCACCTTCAAAATAGGCTCCTAAGCCAACTCTTAATGCAATTTTCCATAGACTTCTTATAAGCCTCTGCTGGCAAGGCCTTCTGTGAATTTTGGATTTCATAAACCAACGTCTCGTCACCAGTAATGATGCATGTGATGAACTTAGGGTCTTCAGCTACGTTGCCAATCATCTCTTTTGTGAACTCTACTCGACGTCGAGTCTAACATTGACACGCATCTAAAATCATATCTAAAACATTAAACAAAATGAGTTGATGAATAAGAGATGTTAAGACCCTCTGCTATTTCTCCGATGTCAACAGATAAAGTTTCAAGCACTGTTTCTTTAACATTTTCGATGTTATCGTCATTAAGAGAAATGAATGGACAACTCGCCTGAGGCAAGTTTTCAATGACTTCACGACCTTCACTGAATGCTTTGTGCCACTCAAACACCTACCTTCGTGATAAAGTAGACTTCAAAACACCCTTCTGCATTATTTTCAATAATGCCGTAGTCGTGATTTCCTTGGAAACACAAAATTTCAACCAATTCCTTGTTCATATTTTCCATGATAAAAATCGACAGACAAATCTTCCAAATAAACACTAACTGACTAATTGGACATCAAACTTCACACGAACATAGAAAGATTGTACCAATCTAGTAAACAAATTTATGGATCAAATTGTCAAACTAAACCAAATTATAAACTGGGTCGAAAGCTTTGACTAATTACTTATGAAAATGTTGGATAGTTGGTTATCTTGTCAGTCACAAAGACAGTTTATCATTCACTTTCGGTTCATGCTTCATAATTGTTAGATTGAGGATTCTTGTTTCAAATAGATTTTAGAATGTACAAACGAGATTCTATAAATATAGGATACTATAGAATTCGCTGAAAAATAATATTCAATAATTTTTTTTCACAAATAATTGATATATATAATATTAATCAGTCCCTAAACTGCTTACCTATAGATGGCGCTATAGCCTGTTAACTGAAAACATTTTTCACAAGATACTGCACAAAAAATGTGGTAAATTCTACAGATTACTTGAAAATTTAATAATTTTCCATTTCATGAATTTCTACATTAAAAGAAAACAAAAAATTGTAAAAAAAATCAGTCTTTCACTTTTGAGATCGACTGTAGCGCATGCCCACAATAAGACCGCACATTTTAATTGAAATCATTTTAGTTTTGTTTTCTGAGTTTATGCTGACAATTCACTTAAGTGGTAAACCCACATAAAGAAATGGCTCTTGGTCAATCATGCGCTCGCAAGCACACTCCGCTTTTATTTCTAAACAATGTGTGAATCATCAGTGCCCCGCTTTTATCTGCCGATTACTTAGAATCCTTTTAAAGCCGTTCGCCTTAAAGGATATAACCAATACAAAGATCAACCTTTTTCCCATTAGCGGCTCACGCAATACGCTTGAGACACACAGATACACACATGTGTAAATATATAAGTAGATATATCCGAATTTAGTTGCATATTCTACTTGTTCTCGGTACATCCAATCCGGCACTTGTGTGGTTTGCTTTGTTTCGAGGCAAAAATGACAAGCGTATTGAATCTGAACAATGAACCTCCTGCCGGTAATTCAAGTAGATTCCTCTTAGAAACGTCACAGGCAAGCCAAACAAATTGATGTGGCACAACGAAACAGGATAATCGGCATAAAACGCAACAACAACACATGAAAATGTAAAGAAAAAACAAATTTTGTTAAAAAAAAATTTCATAAAAAAAGTAAGAAAAAGAATGTGGCATGTGTATATTCCTATTGTTACGCTTATTGTTTTTGTAAACTGATTTTGAATGGTAATAAATTTGTAAGTAATAACTGAAAGGAAAATATCGTCGCTTGCCCAATCGAAAAACAAAAAAAAAATTTGAAAAAAATTCAGAAAAATGAAAAAAAAGACCAAATAAAATAGACCGTAACTGTGATAACCATGAAATGCACACAGGACGACAAAGTGCGCTCCTCCGCCTTATTTGTAGCTGACCCTATGAGCCTTGTTATTGTCACAAACACACACATTCAAAATAATGCCCTCACACTTCTTGCAACATCTGAGCATGGGAAAACCCAATTGAGTGACCATGACTACCCAAGCATGCGCTGCAAGTGTAACTGTATCCACACATGTGTTTGTTGTAGGTGCGCGCTCGTGAAAATGCCACTTATCAATACCTGTCGTTCAGCTAAACCGGCGCAAGCGAGATCAGAAGTAACAGCATTTTTGACTAAATCCATGGGATATCTCGGCGATCTTCAAGCGACAGGTAAAACCGTGCGCGTTCAATGTTGCCAGCGCATGTGCGTATAGCTGTGCGTTAGTGTGAGGGTGCAAGTGAAACTCACCACAGCAGCGTGTTGAGTGGCTGCGCCAAATATGCCAAAGCGGCGTCTACTAAAATGTAAACAAAACAAGTTCATCGGTCCAAAACGCCGGCTGGCAAATATTTGTTGTGGATTTTTTTTTGCATACAACTCGTTGCAACACAACATGTTGCGAGTGTGTTCCGAACGAGCAAGCAACTAGCTCCAAGACATGAAAAGAAAAAACCTCAACTTCCGTTACACCGAAACTATAATACCCTTCACAACTACAAAATTTTTCGTTCAGTTGTATGACAGCTATATGCTATAGTGGTCCGATCCTTCGGAGATTGTTGCGTTATCTGAGGCAATAACTCACGCCAAATTTTGTGAAGATATCTCGTCAAATTAAAAAGTTTTCCATACAAGCGCTTGATTACGATTGTTCAGTTTGTATGACAGCTATGTGCTATAGTGGTCCGATATCGGCCGCTGCTACAAATGAGCAGCGTCTTAGTGAGAAAATTGCGTAAGCCAAATTTCAGATTGATATCTCAAAACCGGAGAGCCTAGTTCGCATATATACAGACAGATCAACAGACGGGCAGACGGACGGACAGACAGCCGGACATGACGAAATCGACTCAGCGCGATACGCTGATTATTTATATATACACTTTATATGGCCTCTGCCATTTTCTTTGGGGTATTACAAACATCGTGGCAAACTTGATATACCCTGTTTAGTGTATAATGAACTGTTTTAGAAAACTTTCGGGCTTTTTACAGTCTGTTTGCTTTAGCCTTATTTTCTGCTTCTTAATAAGCGAATAATCGGTATTACTTGCCTTAACGGACTACGTTTTCATTTAGATCAAGGATCTTTCAATAACTGACTAACGATTTTCTATTAAAGTGTTTATCGACCTGGACCAGCCGAACTGCTAGAGCGCAAAAACTGCTTTTATTTGCACATTTTCGATATCTCGAGTTATCCATTATATATTTTCACTCCAAGTATCAGTAACTCATATAATTCCTTCCGCAGTTAATTAGACTTTCCTAGATGACTTCGGAGCAAGGCTCCAAAATAAAAAGTTATTGCCTCCAAATCTGGATGATAACTTCTCAGACTTTTGGAATCAGAAAAAATTATCTCATATTACCATACAAAATTTGTTAATGAGATTACTTTATTTGTCCACTTTTTTACATTCTACAAACACACTAAAATGTAATACCTAAACTATTTTTGAGCGTCATAAGTTCATCGAAGAAGAGCAACACCAGTGCCGAGTGCGGCACTAAGCGCACATAATTCGCCCAAAAACCTTTATACAGTCCATAAAGGCCTTCAGCGCGAGCGGTCTTCGTAAAACAATCCAACCAACCCTTATACAAGAGACCCTTACCATACGCATCCAAACCCTGATTGTAGATACGTGTCATCATAACATCAGCCGGCGTCATAGCCACAGTTACAAAACAACCGGCAATGAAACCACCACAGAGCGAATTCAAGGCTGGCTGTACGATCAGATTGTGTTCGCGCAGAAAAGACTTGATCGAACCGAATGTTGCCAATTGAGCACCGGAGCCGAGTGAAGTGCGCGTAATGGAAGCTGTAGAGCCGCGCCATAAACCAGAGATACCGCCCTGTCGATAGATGGTGCGTAGCGCCGAAAACATGCCCGTGTGTTTGTGCTGATAGCCGACAGCGACTTGCTTCGATGCACGCGATTGTAGTTGAGTTTTTATCTGCGGGGTATAACATACAGATATATGGAATGTCATATTAATTTCGCACACTTATTAAATAAATAAATGAGTAACTCGCAGCTTTCCAGTTATCAAACGATTATCTAATCAAAGCTAATATTATGTCTTGTTATCTGTGATTAGTTATCTAGATTTTAAGAGCGTCTGACATTCGGCATATTATGAGGAAGTCTGCGAGTGCTAGCTAAATATTTGTTGTTTTTATACAAACCAAGAAAAATGGACTGGAAAAGTATGCGCCCACCGCACCACCGGCGGCACCCCAGAAGAGGCTCAAGCCGAAAGACTCTTCACCATTTTTATGGCGTGTCCAACCCATATTCGCAGCGCTGGTATAAATGCCCAATCTATGGAAAATATTTATGAAAAATTAAGTATTTTAAACTAAACTCAAACTAACTAGTTTCAAAAAGAAACTAGTATCAAAAAAACTAGTATCAAACTAGTTTCAACAAATATGGTATAATTAATTTATTTAAATATAACCAATTAAAATTACCCACCTTATACCATTTACGATGAACTGAAAGTACATGGTCGGCACCAGACCCTTTTGCAAACCCGTCCAACCATCGTTACGTACCACCGTGACCATACCGTGCAAAATACCCTTGTACGGCACAATATAGGTGCCACGCGCCGCCAGCTCTCCTTGTAACTGCATGCGTGTTTTGATGACCTTCGCAAAAAATTAACAGTTATTTACTATTTATTTAAATTTTTTATTTCGAGTTTTACATCGATTGGATTGGTGAACGTTGTTGCACCCATGGCAGCCAGGCCTCCAATAACATATTCCGAAGCGTTCATTGCGAAAAATGTGAACAGTTTTTAAGAAAATATATTTGAAAAGATAACAAAGATTATGCAAAAAATTCCATTAACAGTTTCTGTATCTTTTCTATAAACGCTATGAACTGCTGTTACACTCAGCTGCTGCAAAATGACTGATGGCAAATAATATTTAACGAATTGCAATAGTTTTCTTGATATTACTTAGATAAAGCTAATAAATTAGTTGCTTATCTTCTATCTAATATACGTCATGGATCATATTCTAGTGTGTACTTAAAAATACAACTAAGAGAGCAAGCGCTACTAATATAAATGAGTATTACATATGTCAGAAAATTATAATTTTAATGAGGGGGAAAAAAAATAATAATTTACTTTATCTTTACTACGCTCACAAAGTGCTAATTTTTTAAACGGTATGATGACATTAGCCTCTTTGCTAAATATTAGGCCTATATTCTTCAACAATTCTTATGTGGCCACATTCGACAGCATTTGTTCAAAGCATGAACAAAACAAATTTTATTTGTTATTCTATATTTAATATATTTTAGTTTAGCCTCTAATTACTAAAAAATTAAGTGCTATACCCATAAGAATACAAAAATTCTCAGAAATATAATATATCGGGTCCATAACTATATATACTCGTGCGATTTCTACAAAATTTTAATATTTATTTCATAAAAAAAAACTATATATACAATAATATTATTCATAGTATTTCCCATGTAAAGCATGCAAATTTTCGCATCTTTCTGGCAATTTGTGAACTCCAATCCGAAAACACTGCGCCGGCTTGGCGGCCACGACTGAATAAAACCAATTTTTGTGGTCTGGTGTGAACTAAATATCAGTGAGTGCATTATGCATCGACCGAAACAAATCATAGTTGGAAGAAACAAAGTCTCCGTAAAAGGGCGGGTGAGGCAAAACTTCACAAACAACCAAATAGCTTTTAGCCGGGCTTGCAACATGAGGCCGAGCGTTGTCATGATGGAAAATTGTAGCATCGTGTCTAGTCGTAAAGTCTAGGCGTTTTTTCGGCAATCGCACATTTTATTTGATGAGTTATTATAGGTAACATTATATAAAAGTAATGAAGAAGAAATTCACGCAAAAGTACTTTTTCCGGCAAAAAATTCGACATATTTAAGTGAAAAATAATCATTGTGTTTTAGACTTCAAATAAATGACATTTATTATACTAAAAGAGAAGCTTAAAGACAGTAGATTTCCAACGCATGTTCGGCATATTGGAACAATAGAATAATAATAAAGTTACTCCATCTCTTGGCAAACCGCATACGTAGAATGCGAAATATAGTCCCGAACGAAACTGTATCTTTCTACGAGAGAAAGTACCTGTTATCTCATTTCCCAAACATTAACAAACACTGACTTTTCGTCGAATATAGTACACAGTCGGATCTTGAATGAAGAGTCCCTAACAGTGGACGATGAAGCTCCAATATGGATATTTATATTTATTATATTTTAAGTGCACCAAAAAACTCAAAAAATACCAATAAAAATGTTTACTTCTCAACTGTTTTATTAGAATGAGCGCGTCTATATGATATAATATTTATTCCTATAGTCCATCCAAAAACAGGAATATAATTGTATAGAGTTTTAGCAGCTTTTATGAAGCTTTTCACGGTGTCCTGAACTACTTATATTTCTAAATGATTGTTTTTTTTATGATTTTTATAGTCATACTTCATATAATACTGTCCTTAGGATTTTAGAGAAACAACAAAATGAAACAACAATGCTGAAATACTTGTAAATCACTAAAATCCTCTTGAAAAGCTTAGAAATGTTTGAAAACAAAGCCATCAAACATCAAACATACAACCACAACTTCAACTCCGAACATGTGCGCCGTTGCATTGCACAAAATGTGGTGAGTTACGACACTAATTATATTTTAGCGCAACGCACTAAGTTCAAACACAAACAAGCATGCCAGCGCATGCAACAGCAGTGCAAGCGAAAAACTCACCAAATTGCAGCATTGACTGGCATTGATAAGTGCGCATTGCCGAAGATCATCAAAGAAACAAACGAAATCGAAGGCGCTGCTGTCGAAGGCTGGTGAATAATGCATCAGTTCTTCGTGGTGACTCAAAGCGAGTGGATGTGAAAACGGAAAATAAACGAAAAGAAGTGCACGCGCGTTTTACTTAAAGAATTTTTTTTATGTTTGTGTTTTGCCACATGGAAATGGCAGTGTGAAAACAAAATTGATAGTAAGAAAGTGCAGAAATTACGCAAAGTAAGTTGGAAGTGATAAGTGCTTAAGTTTTGAGCGCATAGTAGTGATAAATAGAAAAAAGCAATAAAATAACGGAAAAGTAAAGTATTGGGAAACGGGAAAATTATATATAAATATGTTGTTGTAAATGAAGGGAATTCAAAGCCTTAATTTTAGAATATGTTAAAGTGATTTTTAAGCAATTTTTATGCTAAAAAATTTTACTAAGCATAAAAATAAATGTTCTATGTGGTAAAAATACATATTTTATAAAAAAAAATGTAATGCCTATAAATTAAATTGTTGCTACTGGAGCGCCAGCCTATGCGTGTCTCACGTCAGTGTATGAGGGTTACCGAGAAATCCATGCTTTCTTGGCCCTTTTTCTGAGGATATACGAAAATAGAAATGTGTCGCAGCATGCAACTGCAACCACGTCGCTAGCACCAGTATTCGTCACCGTCATGGCATGGTCGTCTCTATGTTCGTTTTAATTTTCGACGACGCTGTCGTACGCGTTGATGTGTGTGGCCCCATTATGCTACGGTGACCCCTTTCTCAACACATACAGTCCTTCAAAACAGTGGCAGCGCGTTAAAAGCAGATTTTGCGTTAAATCAAAGTGCTTAGGCAAAAAATTGTGACAAAATTATTTTAAAATAAAAAAATTTTAAGAATAATTGTAAAAACTGTATAAAATATTCCGCACGCGCAAAGCAAACGAACAATTAAGTGGACTTCGGCGTCTTGAGTTTGTGCAGCGCAAACACCAATCGGCTTGGAAAGGTGTAAAAATAGTTGCAAGCACAGGCAGGCCTACCAATAGACTGACATGCGTTTACTTAGCCCTTTCTAGAGTGTGTGCCAGTGCGAAAGCGCGAAGGGAAGTGAAGTGTAAAAGCAAACGTCAGTGCCGTTGCCGTTGTCGCGTTCGACCGGAAGTTGTTAATATTTTTGTATTTGCGCCTCTATGCGCTCATGCTTTTGTATTTGTACAAGTATGTGCAGCGTGTAGAAGTTCCGTTTCTTATTGCGTAGAATTTGTTTGCGTTGTGCGTTCTGCGCCAATTTGCTGCGTTGCCGGCAGCAATTCCATTCAAATTCATATTTTCGTTACTAATTTGAAGTTTTTAACATTACTTATTTGCCTGTGGTGCCAATAAAATGTTAAGTGTCAGCAGAGTGCATGCAATATCAGAAAAATAAAAAATACAGTGTTAATTGGAGTTTTGGTCATTACATGAATACTAATGAGCAACAAATACTTATGCACATAAAATAAAAAATATATATTGTAATTAAAAATTATGATTGAGGATGGAAACTTGTGTGCTTGATCATAAAATATGCTATTTAATGAGTGAATTATTAAATTGTTATTTCCACCAAAGTGTGATTTCCAAATTTACGTCATAATATTAACAAATGCTGAGCCGAATAAAAAACGACCACAAAAATAACAAAAATAGAAAAAACAAATACGTGTGATTTATTGATAATAGATATACAATTACCGTTAACTATTTTTATAAAATACAAATTTAATAGCATAACACTTAAAAAAGTTACTACCAACGAAAAAAAGTTTAAATATAATATAACTAATGAAAAGAAATAAAAAATTCAGGAATTTTAAATTAAATTACTTAAGGAAAATTAATATATTCATTTAGATTCGGTAAAAAAAATAACACTTCAGGTAATATTCGTAGATTTTCTTCGAAATCTCACCAAAATAAGCGAATAATAAAGTGAAGAAGCCGATATTTTTTGCGATACCTGAATTAAAAAAATTCCAAATAGTTTAACTAAACGTTCTGAATATTATTTGTAAATATGTCTTATAATCTACTAATACCTGGTCTATTTCTATATTCTCCTTTTTTTAATTTAAGAGTTAATTAAAAACAGGAAAAAACGTTAACTTCGGTTGCACTGAAGCTATAATACCTTCACAAATACAAAGACTACATACAAGAACTCGATTCCGATCGTTCAATGTGTATGGCAGCTATATAATATAGTGATCTGATCCGAACAATTTCTGCGGAGATTGCATTATTCCCTTAAATAATAATTCACGCCGAATTTCGTGCAGATAACTCATCAAATGAAAGAGTTTCCCATGCAAGGTTTTGATTCCGATCGTTCAGTTTGTATGGCAGCTATATGCTGTAGTGGTCCGATATCGGCCATTCCGAAAACTGAGCAGCTCCTTAGTGAGAAAAAAACAAGTGCAAAATTTCACATCCATAGCTTAATAACTGAGGGACTAGTTTGTATATATACAGACAGACGGACATGGCTAAATCAACTCACCACATCATGCTGATCATTTATGTATATATTTGATAGGGTCTCTGACGTTTCCTTCTGGGTGTTACAAACTTCGTGGCAAACTTAATATACCCTGTTCAGGGTATAAAAAATGAAAAAGTATTATTCAAAGTATTACCCATCTGAAGCAAATGACTAGAGTTAGGTTTTTCATCACGCTTTGTGATTTCTTAAATAAAATAATTGTTGAAGATCTTAAAGTGCATTAGCCAAGACTCAAAAAGTTCGATGAATTTACATAATTTACAAAATTTTAAAGCGTAAACTTAAGGAGATTAATGAGAGTAACCAAAAATAATGATAACAAATACTAGTTTTGAAAGCAAAGTCTAATATTTTGCGCTAAGCCAATAATAGGTTTCGCTGCTGGAGGCAATTCAAATAGCTAGTTAATATAGTCAATTAGCAACATTTTCCTATTAATACATGTGCAGACCGTTGAATAATTGAGTCAAATTAGTGTCTGTGTGAAAGCGCTATTAATTGTTTGAAACAAAAATATTAATTAATATAACAATGTGATTAATAATATAATACATCA